TATATATGGTTGTGACTGTTTTCTTCCATTATTTGATCTGAGGAAGTGGGTCTGGCCCACGAAAGCTCATCATCTAATAAACCATCTTGTTAGTCTTTAAAGTGCTACATTGTCCTGCATTTTGCTTTGTACATTGATTTACTTGGCATGCATCTTTCTTAACCAATGGGATTGCAGTCGGAGCGCAGGAAGTGATACATCGCCCAAAAGCTGAGAACACACACACCATGAGACCCTCTGGTGTGAGACCAGGCGATCCAAACGTCAACATAGTGGGGAAAAGGGACTCAGATACAAGCCCATGTATCAAAGGCCTTGCATAAGGCTGAGGCCTCAACTAAAGTAGCAGCCCAAATGTGACTATTATAAAGCAAAGGGAAGTTGTGAGCAACAGGCAGCCCCTCCTGACAGAATGCAGCAAGCCCAGGGCTAATCCTGCAAAACCACAGATTCCTGAGTGGGGCTAGGCACAGAGCCCTCATGCAAGCTGTGACTGCGCGTTGGGGGTCCCCCGTCTCCTGCACCCCGAAATGGCACAAACAGACTCCACCAGCCAGTGGAATTGAGGGTGGTTTATTGCTCCTCCAGGATACAGCACAGCCCAGATGTAATCTGGTTACAGGAACTGGGGCTAAGAGGCCTCAGTGCCCCCCTTGAGATAGGGGAGTCCCAGCCCCCCTCCCCAGCTCCTTCTCCCCTGCTTTCCAGACAGGAACTAACTCTACCTCTCCCAGCCCTGCCCCCAGCCAGGGCAGCATTCCACCTCCCTTTGTTTCTCCCCATGGGGGGGTAGCTGGTTCAACCGGTATGGTACCTTTGCATAATAAGGTTTTCCCTGATGGGTCTTGCTCCGGACAGCAGAGGTCACCACAGCCCAGCAAGTACCCCCACTACGTCACACAAGCACTCTGCAAAACCCCCAGTACCAGCACAGTCCCCCAAGATCAGTGGACCACACTAACTCATCCTGAAAACCAGGTCAGAATAACAGCATAATAAACAACAACGTTTTAATCAAACTGACATAGGCAAAACAAAGGGTGGCACTATCCTACATCAAAGGGTGGACCTTAACATATCCAGGCAATGTGCAATTTGTTGGTATTAATGTATAAATATCTGGCAAAGGGCTAGTCTTTAACTAGCTGACAACGCAGTAGAAAGTCCTGCCACTATCTAAAAGCTGTGTTCATTGTCGCAGGCAGGCAGGCTCAGGAAACCCATGAAGTCTGCCAGGTGCTATTACTGTGCTGTGTCAACAATGACCCTCGCCAGGTGCTTTTGCTAAAAACCAAGTCGGTGAGTTTCTTAAGCAGTTGCTTAAGAAGGGCTGCTATCTCTGCTGCCTGTGCCAAGGGCTAAAACAGCACGCCACATACACACATGTGCAGCCAACAGCTAACCACAATCAACGCCGTCCCTTTTATCTCCTACTGTAGTTCCAGGACAGATGATTATACTCAGTAAGGTGGATACTTCTCAGTAGTGTTGCAAGCACTGGTGGATCACAGGGGCCTTTTCACCAACATCAGAGTGGGGCAGACAGGAAAGGTGTATAACACGTGCATGTTTAGGAACCCCGGTCCATTCCAAAAGCTGAAAGAAAAACAGGCTGGGACACACACGAATATATCCCAGCTGTGGCACACTAATGCACCTCGTGGACAAACCTATAGGCACTTCTGAGCATAAACCCGGTTGCCTTTCAATGAGGTGTAGGGCCCAACTGTTAAAGGTACTTGGCTGCATGAAGATTTTCTGGAGAACCCAGGCACTAAATCGCATTGATTTCAATAAGCCCTTTTGATAATCCTATTAGATGTCCATCTGCATCCTTTGGCGCCTGTAAAAGTCTGGCCCTTCAGACCCCAAGGGCTAGGCCCAGCTCCTCAAAGGTCCTCACAGGATCCATGGAAGGTAAGTGCCTACATATCTTTGAGAAGCCAGGCCTAAGTCATCTCTGAAAGCAGGACTAAGCAGCATTTGGAAATTTTACCCCAGGCCCTTTCACTTGATTGTTAATAGCCGGGATTTCTCGCTCCTGGAATTCCAGGCCACCAGCAGGTACAACTTAACCCTGTCTCCATTTGCTTTTCAGTTTTGGAGACGGGGGTGAGGAGGAGATCATCGCTGGACTCTGACCTCCCACACATATGTCACCGCAGCCTGCGCGCCCATCCTTCCCTCACTCAGGGGGTCTGTTGATACAAAGATATGCAGGACCGATTAGCACCACGCCTGTACTCCCCTCTCTCAGGCCAGGCAGAGGGTGGTCTCTCTGAGCTCAGAGCTGCTTCACTTTGAATTGGAGCGAGTGTACATGTACAACAGCTGTTTTTGCTCTTCCGTGTTTTTAGGGTCCATCCTGACAACAGCCTGGGGCGGCACCATATTTTAAAGGACGCAGCCTACCCGGGTGGACTGTTACCGAGCCATTGGAGAGAGAAAATGAATTGCCACTGACCCACAAAGACACTGGTGTAAGTAAAGCTGCCATGGTGGTGGGATGGAAACTGAACAGAGAGCGCTCATAAATGCCCCAGCACTGGTGGGAAACAGAGGCAGGAAGTGCTTCTCTCGGTCATACAACAGATCCATACCAAAGCTGGGGCTAGAAGCCAGGACTTCTAGACTCCTGCTTCAGTGTGCTACCCACTAGATCACAGAGCTACAATTCACCAGCCAGACTCCGTGTTCTGGGTTTCCCAAGCTGTGACACAGAGAATGGTGCCAGCTGGCAAAGTGTTCACTGTTCATTACAAGCAACTCCGGTCTAAGCCCTAGCAAAATCTCTGCACCTAGTATGCTGCTCTCCTGGTATTTATCTATGAAGGACTGTATGTAAGGCAGCGTTCCCTCTAATCTTTTCCATCGGTGGGAGGATCTTTTCTATCTATGGGCAGAATAAAATTTGTTATGTGCACCGAGGCATGTTGATATGCACCATCAACAGAAACAAGGTTTAGCTGGGGGCATTCTGCTAATCAGCTGGGCAGCACTTGAATCTCTCCTGAGTGGTCGCACAAGCACCCAGCTTACAAGACTGCGGACACGAAGTCTCTGCTGAAAGCTTGTAACTCATCAGTCCTTGTAATAACAGTGAGGTGGGTATATGGGTAATACTGAAGGAATAATCTAGCTTTATGGGGCCCGGGAGTGAATAACATGCCTTGGTGATAGCCCATTCAAATGGGACGGAGTTGTTGCCCCCTCCCTAGTGAGCCGAATATCTCAGGTATTGCTCAGATGTCCACAGTTGCACCAACCCAAACCATCCATGGAAAGCCCTCAAAGACAATCTATGAACCTGGAGGCCACCTGGAAGTGACAAGAAATGACAGGCCAGTGGAGGGAGTGCCCTGTGGGTGTCTACAGACAAAATGCTGGTTCAGTACATCACAGGGCGGGATAAGACCCTTTGGATCCAGTCACTAAGTCCTCAAGGCAGCAAACACTGCAAAAGACAGTGCTTTGGGGTGGGACGTGACCTTGGTAGTGAGGAAAGGCAGCTATCCATGAGAATCCCACCTCGTCTGCATTTTCTGATGGAGTTTTATGTATAATCATTTACCAGTCTCACTGGTTTCTAGCTGAAACTCTGTGCTTTTGTGTCAACGTAACTTACCTCAAGTGCTGTGTGTGACACAGGAGCAGTGGGCTAAGGCTGTTCCTTTGGGAATGGAGCCTCTGGGATTTCTGATAGAGATGCAGCCGTGTTAGTCTGGTCTAGCTGACACCATTATTGGACCTAACCATGCCTATTCCAAGATCAAGAACACATATTCCTGTTCATCCAGAATTATAATTTATGCCATCATGTGCCTAAAGTGTCCGTCTGCTATGCACATTGGACAAACTTCTCAGACACTTCGCCAAAGATCAATGCACATAAAACAGATATAAGACTCTCTCACAGAGAGAAAGCTGTTCCTTGCCATTTCAGCCAGACTGACCATTCCCTCAATGACCTTAAAACATGCATATTGCTTCAGAGAGACTTTAACTCAAACTTCAACGAGAAGCTTCAGAATTGTCATTCATGCTTAAATTTGACACTTTATGTATAGGTCTAAACAAAGATTCTAATTATCCTCACCCATTATAAAGATAGCTTCCCCTATTATCACCCCTATGTCATTACCTCACAGACACTAACCTTCCCCTTCCAAATCTAAAATTTGATTTGTCAATTTCACATGTGTTCATTTTTTTGATGGTATCACTTTCTTCCACAAATTGATCTCAGGAAGTGGGTCTGGCCCACGAAAGCTCATGGCCTAATAAACCATCTTGTTAATCTTTAAAGTGCTACATAGTCCTGTCTTTTGTTTCTGGGATTTCTGTGGGTCTGCAGTGATCAGGTGCTGGGAACCGCTGGGGACATGAGGAAGGGATGCAGGGGTGGGAGTAAATCTATTGCCAACTTGCAGGGCAAAGACAGAGGTGATACAGCCTAATGGAGGGTGCTTGAGTGCTTGACAGGCTGGTTGTATTAAGAGCTAACACCCAGCAGGCACAGACTCTAGAGGCAGGGGGCAACAAGGTGACTCGCAGCCCTAGTTGTCCCGAGGCCCATCAGACGTGCTCTGCTGGCCCTGCTATACCACTGGAAGATTTCTGACTCCCTCCCTGTCCTCCAGACAGCCTTGCACAAACGACAGAATGTGAAGACTGAAAAGGAAGCAATTACTGGAAGGGTTTTGTTTCTGTTTGAACTATTTATGAGTTTTAGATATTTTTCTTCTCTCTCTGTGGGCCAATCTAGTGCAACATGAATATAGTTAAACGCATACATGCCCTATAAACTATGCTTTAACTAGCACTAACAAAAGACATTAATAACATTAATTAACATGGTTAATGTTTGTAAGCTGCTGTGAAAAATGTAAAGCAATATAGAGCTATATAAAATCACACACACACACAAACTACATTAAAACCATTATGAAAAATGCAAAGTCAAACACTCAAAAGTTAGGAAAAGCCAGAATTCAACTTACCTGTGTCACCTTACGTCAGCTTGCTGTGTGTAAGGTGACGAGACAGTCTTCAGTGGCATGATCAAATGCTCTGTTTTCCACTGCTCGTTCAATACATAGGATTGACCTGGTTTGGGGGCAAATAAAGGCTGTCTCTTTCTCGACAAATAATTAACATGATAAATACGAAGGTGTATGTACCATTTTATGTATGCCTTCCTCTTTCTCTGGTTAAAAAAATCTTGTGACAGCCTTTAAATATTTGGGGGGAAACCTTTGGCTCTGCTGAAATCAATGGAAGTTTGGCTGGTTATGCAGTGAAGCCAGGCTGTCTCTGTTGGAGCTCCAGTGTGCTTACCATGAGACCATCACATGGATTGGTGTGTGTAGCATCCTACTTTCACTCATAGTTACCAGCGCACAGATACTTTGCCATGGGCCTAACTCTAATGAAGCTGATGGAGCTAAGCCAGCAGTGAGTTTGTCCTTTTCTGTGTTTATTTCTCATCCTGGCTTGCTGCATGTTATAACTACTCAGTGTCAATTTCATGGAGCAATTGCAGGGGCTCTGCTCTTCCACCACAGGATTAACTATGCTGGACTTCAGTGGCCCTATGGACTTCAGTGGGAGCACAAGGCCCTGGGTAATGAAATGTTACAGTATGAGAACTGGAACACAATTGCTGTTCAGCTGGAGGGCCCAGATTCGAATCACAAACAAACTGGAATTTGGGAGAGCCAGTTTATGTTTTTCACTTTCTTGTGGACTTGCTGCTGGGGCTTGTGCAAGTCCCTGGGGGACAGGACACTGGCATGGGATTCTGAAGCACCGGGATTTAGTCCCAGCTCAGCTGTTGGTCACACAGCAAGCTGAGTTACCTTAGAAACCAGGTACTGATATTGATGGGCTTTGGAAATTGCTTTGAGATCTACTGAAGGAAAGTGCTACAGAATAGTTCTTGCTAGGACAATACCTTCATCTGGGAAAAGGGAATCAACTAAGAAGCTCAGTCGATTAATGTTTGTATGACAGTTGAAAAATTCAAGGCTCACGGCTGCTTGTGGTTTATATCTTATCAGGCCAGAGAAATTGGGATAAGCCACATACTGATGTATACAGTATTTACAGTAAGCTGAAGATTAGCCGCAAGCCACAGATAGTTGTGGTTTACCATTGTTATAGAGCAGCTTACCTCTTAGGGTTTGTGGCCAAAATGATCTGTGTAATGGGCCGATAGGTAAATGCAATGCCATAGAACACAGCACAACGAACGAAGTGTGGAAAGGGAGATGGTGGTCAAGAAGGTGTTTGCCTTGAAATGACTTTTACAGGACACATCATGCGCTCCTGAGCTGCAATTATACATGAGTAATCCATTCCAGACATGGTTTATTCCATCTGCAGCCTATGCTAAACACTGGGCATATGATGGGCCTGATTTTTAAACAAGCAGCAAAACTTTGTTAGATTAGGCATTTCTCCAGGATGTGCAGATGACTAATTTGCAGACAATTTCTCAGGGTGCTTGCTCGCTCATAATAACTGTACCCACTCGGGTCTTGGACAAGGGAGGTCTGACCTGTAGTGGGAATTAGGGGCCTAAAAGTTTGTTCCCAGTGCGTGCCTGGAGGATCTTACAGGCACAGCCTAGACTGACTGCAGATCCAGTTCAGCCATTATTGTTCCTTGTAAATTGCAGGTTAGAGCGCTCCTGGCTGAAAGCCCAAGGTAGGAATTTTTAACCAGTGTTAACCCTGTGTCTGGCTTCCAGTTTCCACACACAATTTTCCCTATATCTGCTTTGACACAAATCAGAGCATTTAGCCCATTAACACCTGCCATAGTCCCATGGGCTGAAGGAAGCGGTGACTACAACACCCCTTCGCTTGGCTTGATGAAAGCAGCACGAAACGCTAATATCTGGTTTACAATCAAGCCAGGAAGGATTGTGGGAGCTGCCCTTTGAGCTTCTGCATCACTGACCTCTACCCTGACCCAGAAAATACTCCTTTTTGCAATGACACATGATTCAGTTTCTAGGCTCAGTCAGTCCTGAGGCAAAGCACTCAATAGATTTATTATGTAGATGGATTCCCATTTATTTGCTATGAACTACAGTCTATTGGGGGGAAGCTGTCTCAAGGCCTAGAATTGTCCTTAAAATAAGCTCTAGTGGATTTTATTCAGTGCCTGTAGGACCATTTAAAGTTCATGCTGGCTTTTGTTGAAAGGGTGAATCTGACATGAGTAATCACAGACCAGCCTTTTATTCATCAGCAGAACTGTGCAAGTAACTGACTTTTTGCTTTGTTGGCCACACAGAATTTTTTTAAGTTGTTTTGAGTCAAACAAAAATGTTTTAGTCAACCCAAAGTATTTTTAAAGTGAAATTGAAATACATTTCAAAATGAAAAGTCAACATGTTTCATTTAGCAAATGTCAAAATGACAGGTTTCAACTTTTTTGGGTTTTTAATTTTTTTTTCTTGGATCAAGACAATTTGGCAAATTTGACACAAATTTGTGCAATCTTTTAGCAAATCCTAACCTGCATTTTTCAGTCACAAAAAGTTTTGGACCCCAAATTTCACATACTTTTATTCACTACTTTCTTTTTCAGACTCCCAATGGACTTTTCACATTAGTATAACTAGCTATCTTTTTAGAAAAGCATTGATTAAAATGCTGCAGAAGCAAAGGCAGGATGGGAAAATGCAATCAAAACCAAGCCTATGATGTGTTACTGATTTCAAACAGAAAGAATCAGTGATTATCTACCACTAATGCATGGTACTTAAGCAAATCAAATGATTTTGGGTGGCCTTATTCATGATTTTTAAATGCTAGTGGTTGGTGATAATGATATGTAAATAATTGTCATTATGTTTCCGAGTAAACAGGTGCCTGAATTCACTGAGTCCAAGTCACACCTTTCAGACCTATTTTTTCCATTAATTGATGCAGAGGGTTCAGTAAAGTAATGCTACTTTATTTCATACTTGGAAGGCTAGAAGTGTCAGTAAAAATCCTGAATCCCTAAGTCTACAAAAACAGAAGGCTTGTGCTCTCTTGGTTAATGCTAGAGTGGTGTCCTGGCAGATACCGCCTCCATCTAACCTGCAACTGGAAAGCTGTTGCAGAATATGAAAGTCATTGAATTGTGGCACTGAGAAAGATATGCTTGCATGTCTACTTCCCTACCTCTCCCATTAGAAATGCCAACATGTCTTTGTGACTAAAATATTTCTTAATTCCTAATACCCTGATGACCGAACTAGATTCGAATAAATCTTTAACCTCGAGTATTTATATTTAAAATGCAGTTTCTTATTCAGCCTCTTAGTTTTGTTTTTGAGAAAGTTCTGTTGAGGTGCCACTGTTTCTCCATCAGAAGGCCCATCTAAGTCACATCACAGAAACTCTCCAGACAAAGACATCGTTGTGTTCTGTGCAGAAACATGGAGGAGCCAATTGTACAGTAAGTATGTGAAATAAATCAAGACCCCTAAGGAGGTAATTTTGGGGTCGGTTTGAACTAACCCTCATGGAAATATGTTTTTGAACCTCAGAAAAAAATGCCTAATTTGGGCTGGGTATTGGTATTACATCCGAGTAATTTCCCCTCATTTAAAATGGAAATTTCAGACTGGCTTGTGTTCATGGGTTCAAATTTTATGTGCGCTTCTGAAAGCATGTTGTCAGCTATTAAAATATGGTTTTAGAGATGAAAAACATCCATTTTGTGAGTGTTTTTAATTACCTCATTCCGTTATCTGGACTCTGCCATTTTGGGTCATGATCAGCGGTGTAACAACTGTGCCTCCTAGCTTCTCAGTGATTTCCAGAGCCTTCAATTCTGAGTGAGCAGCTTCCTTTCCATGTCCTGAGACAGACCTCCCATTGTTTCCCCTTTCTGGCCCTGTAAATCATTGACAGGGAAAACGTGTGAGTATTAAACAAAGGAACAAAACGGTTATTTTCAGAAAAGAAATTTTCCCACACTTTGTTAGGTCTCGTTCCTCACATTGTGCCCCGCTTTGGGATGGTCACTTAGCAAATTCTCATTCGTTTGTCCAGTGAAGGGGTGGGCAGCCAGTGTTAAGAAAATCAGCTCTTTTGCTATTGCCAGTAGCTCAAGGTAGCCAGCAATCAGCCACGACATTTCCGCTTGCGAATGAAACTGTCAGTTCAGTGCGATGTCTCACTACCTGTTTGCTGCAGAACCCTGCCTCACAGAAAGCAAATAGGTACAATATTTCTACAGCTGCCAACAAATTCATATTCCTTTACTGAGCAGAGTGTGGGTGATCTCACTTAAAGGGGATTGACCCTAACAGTGACTCAAAGGGTTTGTGTTGAGTATACAAAGGCCCAAAGGCTAATCTCAGTTGCACAGGTACACATCTGGAGTAAGTCTGTTGAGTACAATAGAGTCACACAGGTTTACACTCATGCAACTACAATAAAAGCTCAGCTCCAACAGTATGAACCACATTCTGTTTCTGAGGACATTTGTCTGGACAGAATGGGTCAATGCATCATGTTTGAAATAACCTGGTGTGTCTACACTCTAAACACTATTCTTGTCCCCAGTGCAAATACACAGGCTGTGGTCTTCAGAACTGGTCAACAAAATGCCACCCACCAAACTCCCATTTGAACACGCAAACATGCACTTGTGTATAGAAATGGTCAGCTAGGAGCTCAGTTACCCATTTTGCACATGCAAATACTTGTTTGCACACACAGATGTAGAGTTTACAGCTGCAGTTTGGGTGTCCAGTTTTGAAAATCTGCACAATATTATGAAGAATCTGAAGTATCTTTGTTTTACAGACAAATGCAAAGGGATGCAGCTAAATGAAAGTTAAAAGTGCATAGATGTTCTTCTATAAAATTCCAGTGGTAACTTTCAGAGTGACAAGTCTAGTGTTTGAATTTAACAAGAGATTTGTCTGAAATGTAAGTTTTGTTTATTGTTCACTTTGAAATAAAGACTTTCAAAATTGTTAAATAAATGTCCTATAACATGGGACCTACTGTAACTTACTTTATCCATGACCCACTTTGCTCCAGTAAACTGGGTGCAGCATACAAAAACATTAATTTTTTACACCCTGCAGGGGGAGCCCACAAAGGACTAAGAAAGACAGTGATAAAATAAAGACAAATGGAAGGCTTTAAGATGGAATTTAAAGAGAGGAAATGACTTACTAACCCACAGGGAAAGGAGCTCGCAATCTTGAAACCAGCTGCCTCATTCGCTGTCCATCCTGGGCACTGAATGTGGCAAGGGGTCTTGCTGAATACATAGAATCATAGAATCATAGAATAATAGGACTGGAAGGGACCTCAAGAGGTCATCGAGTCCAGCCCCCCGCCCTCAAGGCAGGACCAAGCTCCATCTACACCATCCCTGACAGATGTCTATCCAACCTGTTCTTAAATATCTCCAGAGAGGGAGATTCCACCACCTCCCTTGGCAATTTATTCCAATATTTGACCACCCTGACAGTTAGGAATTTTTTCCTAATGTCCAATCTAAACCTCCCCTGCTGCACTTTAAGCCCATTACTCCATGTCCTGTCCTCAGAAACCAAGAGGAACAAATTTTCTCCTTCCTCCTTATAACATCCTCTTAGATACTTGAAAACCACTATCATGTCCCCTCTCAGTCTTCTCTTTTCTAAACTAAACAAGCCCAATTCTTTCAGTTACCCTTTCCAATTTCTCCACATCTTTCTTGAAATGTGGCGCCCAGAACTGGACACAGTACTCCAGCTGAGGCCTAACTAGTGCAGAGTAGAGCGGCAGAATGACTTCATGAGTTTTGCTTACCACACACCTGTTGATACAACCTAGAATCATATTTGCTTTTTTTGCAACAGCATCACACTGTTGACTCATATTCAACTTGTGGTCCACTATGACCCCTAGATCCCTTTCTGCCATGCTCCTTCCTAGACAGTCGCTTCCCGTCTTGTATGTATGGAACTGATTGTTCCTTTCTAAGTGGAGCACTTTGCATTTCTCTTTATTAAACTTCATCCTGTTTACCTCTGACCATTTCTCTAACTTGCTAAGGTCATTTTGAATTATGTCCCTATCCTCCAAAGAAGTTGCAACCCCACCCAGTTTGGTATCATCTGCAAACTTAATAAGCGTACTCTTTATCCCAATATCTACATCATTGATGAAGATATTGAACAGTACGGGTCCCAAAACAGACCCTTGAGGAACTCCACTCGTTACCCCTTTCCAGCAGGATTTAGAACCGTTAATACAGTATGTGATCATGAAATTAAAGACTGAAGTATAATGCACAGATGGGCCACGTTCAGGGGGCATGGGCAACTTTGGAGTGCTGCACTTGGCAGCCTCACTGTTCCTTTAATACTAGTTTTTTTTTAAAGCAGCAAATTAGAAAAACAGAAATTGCATCATGTAGAGCCACAGAGATGCCCTGTATATGGCATCAACAAGACTGGGACCAAGGACCTTTAGATTCCCAGCACAGACCACTGTCATTTGAGCAAAGAGTAAATGGCAGTAGAAGGTTATCATCCTCTTTGTGGACCAGCCACTAGAGGGCAATGCAACACATATTGTGATAGCTGAAGACTGCTGGGAACCAGGAAGCCTGGACTCTACTACTGGCTGTAGACTGGAGGGGAATGGGTCTAGTGGTGACAGAGTCTAGCGACGTAGCAAGCACACACACTTGCCCCATTCATGCTGAAAGGCAGCGTGGCCAAATGAATGCGACTCTCTACTACCTGATTTGTAAAATGAGCCAATGAAAGCTGCCTGTCTCCTACAGTACAGGGGTGGGGCCTTGCTCAATAACAAGAGCAGTGAAGTGTATAGAATAACAGCCGCCATTGGAGGACCCAAGACCAGAATTCATGGTCTCCTCCTAGCTCTGAGCCCCAAGAACGTTCCTCAAGCCACAAGTGTGCTTGTGGGTCCACTTCTGTGACTATCCTGTCAGGAGCTCAGCCAAGGTGAAGAACACATTCAGCTTTGGGGGCCCTTTGGGCCGCAGCAAGCAACACACCAGCTCTACAGAGCATGTGAAGAGGGAAATATTCAGCCAAATAGGAGAAAATTTCCACAGGGACAGCAAAAGGCACCTCTTTGAGCTCAGTGCAACTCCCCTAACAAAGTCCAAGCACAGGCATTCACTCCTGCGATAGGGTTAATTAGGGTTCTGCGGGCCAACATTCCAACTTACAACTCAGTTTTCCAGAACCAATTGTGTCATAAGTCCAAATACTGCCTGCACCAGCTTCAAAGCATGGAGGCGCTAATACTTCTCAATCAAATGGTGGTATTTTTTAATATGGGCTAAACAACATATTTTCCCCTGCTCTCCTTGGAAAAAGCAGAGCCATTTTTGTAGAAATTAAAAACCAAAAACCATGTGAGGCAGACACCCAGAATGGAAAAATCCAGCTGCAGCGGTTAAGTGTGGCCAAGTTACTACAGGTGTCATTGTCAGCTCTGCCTAGACTATTCTGGCCTTGTGCATTTTGGAAGTTTGGATGCAGGAAGAACATAAAAGAGGAAATTTGCAATAAGCAAGGCAGGCATGTAGAGAGAGTTCCCAGGGTCAGGGTAAGTACAAATTCTGGCACTGTTCCCAAGGTTGCGATAAGCAGACACACAGGCATGGGAGGAAATAAGAGATTAATGACTATAGTAGATATTAACGAACAAACAATTCTAGCAGCAACATTTTTGAAGGTAACCACCTTTCTTTAAGGGGACTGAGCAGCCGATGACATTTTCAGGAGAGAGAATGATGTATGCTGCCTCCATTCAATGGTGTTAGAAAGTAGTCAGCATTTAATTTTACCTTCATGTAGACCACTTAACTTGAAGACAGCACTGAGGAATAGGGTGCTTTGGGCCAGGGGAGCCAGGCCTGTATATTTTGAGGCAACGTGTAGGAGATGCTCAGTGAATCCTGAACGTTGCTAAAATGGGCCTGCAGGCTGGATCAGCAGCAGCACATGGTAAACGGCGGTGACCCACACATACCACTTGAAAAACCCATTGTTGGGGGGTGTGCGTCTCAAAATGCCTGGGGGCACTATAATCAGGGAAGAGAGAAGTGGAAAGGGCACAAGTCGGAGCAGTAGCTCTGGAGAGCTGCACATCGCACAGTGTAGGCAGGACTCCACTGAGTGCTTAGCCAGACGTGACTGCAAACAGTCTGTGTAACAGCAGAAAATGACCAATAAGGTCCATTTCACATAAAAGACCACACAAGCAGTCATGTAGTTCTGTCAAAACACATTTGGCGCTTTGAGCTTTTGCAGCCAATTCTTCCCACCGCAAAACTTGGCAACTTTTGACACTCTTAAGCATTATAATCCCCTTTGACTTTGCCAGAAGGCCTCCCAAAAACATGACAGCCACTTAGGCAGCTGGAATGCAGAGATCATCACTTAGCACATTGACCAGTCTCGTCTCGTTATTTCCTCATACCCCCATCACCTGTCTATATCCATCTTGCGACTGAGATTTCAATTGTAAACCCCTTGGGGCAGGGAGAAGCCTTTGTTCTCTGGGCCATGGATGGGTTTCCCACAAAGACTAGAAGATAATATATGCAGCAGTTCATCTGTACGCCAGCCTGGCCAGTCTAAGAACAGGTCTCATGTTACCAGAGTAACTATGCAAAAGAAACAATTCAATTCTAGCAGGGGAGTTCCTGGGCTAATACCTGTTACCCCTGGGAGCTAGCTAGGGGGGAGTTAAATGTTTCCACAAGCCCGAGCAGCCTGGCTCCAGCATTCATGCAGCTAACAACATACCATGCATTCCTTCAGGCGCCCTGCCTTCAACATGTCCCCGATCCATTACCTACAAGGGTGTATGCCATCTTTGGCAGAGCTCATTCTGGGCTGGGAC